AATTACATATATATATTTGTCAGATCAAAATCCAAATCGCCTAAAAGACGCAAGGGCAAACGCCGTGGCCGTGGCCGTAGCCGTAGCCGTAGAAGCGGACGTAAATCTAGAAGAAAGAGTCCCAACGCAAGAAGGGACGTGGTAAAAGTCGCAGGGGCAAAAAGCGTCGTGCAATAAATGTTTTGCCCAAAAATGGAAAATATTTTCGAATGACCAAGTACGTGATATTCTGAAATGTTTCATCTGTTTTATAAAACTAATATTCAAAAGCGTATAATAATAGATAATTAACAAAATTATTTTGCAACAATATTACAAATGCTGAGAATAGAACAATAAGATCAACTTTATCCTGTTTTATAAAAAAAATATGCTGATATACCTATTTGAAGTATTTTGCAGCCCAATCGTCAAATTAAAAAAGGTTAAAATAGAAAAATTATTTATACTATTAAACGTTTTGACACATAAGATCAGTGCTGGATTTACAGTAGGGCAGTCGGGGCTACTGCCCAGGGCGGCAAATTTTCGGGGGCGGCAAAATTTGGATAGCAAGAAAAAAATCTATACAATGTATACTATAGTTAACTGATTGTTTTAATAACATTTTTTATTTCTAGAAAAAAAAATTAAACAAAACATAATACTATTGCAATGCAAAACTTGAGTTCAAATAACCGATTAATAAAATTTATTATTTTGCCTGCCTTCCTCTCCGAACGTAAATTATCAAATTGGTTAATACTCGTAAGTCATTATCAAATTCGGCAATTTGGCTAATATAAAAATTCGTTAATGAGCTGAAAGTTTAGGGAAAATATATTATTCAGATCTCGATTAAGATCTTCATTAAGATGAAGAAATCGTGCACTTCCAAGCTTATAGCAAATTACTGGAACTTTTCCGTACTGAAATTACATTCTATAAAGAGCTTTAAAAATTTTTGAAAAATGTAAAAATTTGACTTTAAAAACTCTTTTTTATATTTTGATTTTTTTTGAAAATTATGAACTTTTTTCAAAGCAATCGCGATGCATAGCTGTTTCAGAGACGAAATATCGAAACTCAATTACCATTTTTTGAAACGACTGGACCTTCCTGTGCCAAAAACTAATCAGAACGTCTCCCCATCAATACAAATCTAATATTTTTTAATTATTCAAGTCGATTTCGAGAACACGGATTAACCAATTTGAATGATTCGATTCCAATTGATAAGAAGACGTGTTGTTTAATTATTGGCCAAGGCAGGTCCAACTTGTTTCGAAGATTCGGACCAAAATTCCAAAAATGATAATTCAGTTATTGAGAAATGGAGCGTCCAATATCATAAAAATGTACATGTATTGACAAAATGAAGAACTGCTCAAATTTTTGGGGGCACATCTAGCGGTTTCGGTGATCCAATAAAAAAAATTGCAAAAGAAGCATTTGGTGATCAAAAGTGATTATTAGACATATGCACATCAAATTATCAGATATTTTATAGATATTTTAATGATAAGTGTAAATTTTGTATACATTCTATGGGTTCTGTAAACATTTTTTATCGCGCTTACACGCTTCTGTATTTTGTGTCTACGCAGCTGAAGGAGCGCGATTGCTTTAAAAAAGTTCAAAATTTTAACATATTTCATTTTTTTTTCAGTTTTCAAAAAAACAATTTTTTTTTTAATTTCTATTTTTGATACGAGAAGTTACAGCACTTTGCCATAAGGCACTACTATTCATAGTATGTAATGCGTAATAAAATTTTCTGCAATCAAATAGTTATTTTAATTTTAAAAAAAGATATATAAGAACTATTTAAGTAAAATGTCAGGTATGGGGCGGCATTTTTGTCAGTGCCCCAGGGCGCCAAATTTCTAAATCCGGCCCTGCATAAGATGTCGTGTGTTATTATTCAGCAATCTAAAAAAAACATTACATGAATAACAATAGTTGATATTAAATATAAAATAAAAAAGGAAAAAGTTATATGTACATATCAAACTAGGAAAAATACAAAAAAAAATATAAAATTTATATATTATATATATATATTATATATATATATATATATATATATATATATTAGTTTGTTTTTAGATTTGTAGATATTTAGAAAAGTTTTTTTTTAAAAAAAACATTTTTTTAACATGATCTTATAAATTTAAACAAAACTATATTTATGAAAAGTAATGGTGGATTTTTTATATAAAATGAATTAAATTGAAATAACATTACAGAAATATGGCAATATAAACAAATGAAAGTAATAAACATAAATGAGTTGATTATATAACAAAATATTAGAAATGTTAAAAAATTAGACAGTTTTTAAAAAAAGGTTTAAAAACAGAATTAATTACCTGTTTGATTGAGTATACACTAACACTTTTTCACTAAGAACGATTTTATTCAAAAAAATGTGATTTTATACATTTCTTTTTCAGACGAAGACATAAATTTAGTAATTCAAATATTGTTTAAGTTATGTCTTTTTTGAGTCTCACATAACAAACTCATAAATTTCTTCAAATAAAATCGAAATTTGTCGATAATTTTAACATTATAACTTCGTTTGTTGGGTATAATCAACCATAACTGCCGAAATAAAACTGAGAGAAATAAGTGCCGTCCCACTCGTTTCCAGTTGCTAGGAAGAGAACCGCGGTTTAGTCTAAAAAATGAGTGTTGATCTAGGAAAATAACAAACACACTAAAATTTGCCACTTGTAACATTAGAAAAAAATAGAACTAACTGATGTCTTTATAGCTCTTATTTATTGAGAAACAATAGCAATTATTATTGATCAGTTATCAAGCGGGATGTAAAATGAAAAACTACTAAGATTTTACAAATAGTGGGTTTGTGGCAGGATGCTGAAAATTTTACGACAGTATGTATTTTTTGATTGAGCAATATAAAACAATAACACGAAAATAATTGGTCCCAGAAATAATTAAGACACGAGCGGGCAATCTTTAGCAAGACCTTTAGATCACTAAAGAGTCGTACCAGACGTACTAGACACTCTTCTTTTATCCCTGAATATAAATTTGAATTTTCATAAGAATCTTAAATTCCTTATTTCCTAATAATTAATATTATATTTTAAATGTTTATATCATTTAATTATATTTTAAATATCAATATTTAAATAATAAATTGTTTTGACTTTTCATACATTTCAGGTTTGACCAAATGCAATCTGATGCCGATTTGATTATCAGCGACTTAATACGGAGTATCGAGCATAAATTACGTAATAAAAGAAATGAAGATTTGGCTCATCACAATATTTGGAAGAAAAATAATAAATATATTACCGCGCACGTATCAAGATATTCCAATAGAATGATGACAAATTATCCTCCGCAACCGAACACTCAACAAAAAATCTGCTTCAGAACAAAAGGGACCAATATATTAACGATGACATAGTTAATCCAGATTTCGATCCTGATAAAAAAATAAGTCTGAACGCAATTCGTTCTACCGATATGTCGAATCATTTAATTAAATGTATCTATAAAATTTCAAATTTCTTTAAAGATAATTTTCCTGTGACTATAGTCGACATTGAGCCCTTTCCTTTTTCATGTAATGTCAATTTATGGTGGTTGTTCGCAACCAACTTTTTTTAAATCCCTATTTCTGTTTATTTATAAATTACAAGTTTGTTTGTATGAACGAGATCACATTTTGAATGAAACAACCAAATAATGTAATGTAGTAAAATGTATTTTTAAATTTTCCATTGAAATGTTAAATTATTTTTTGATGATGTTCACTTTTTTATTTTCGTGTGTTGGTGACACTTATATTTGACACGCTTTTATACATTACCCATATGACATTTGCAAGTTTTTGTTGCAACGTATGTAAATATGCATTTTATAATTTTTAATAAATTTCTGTACGAATAACAACAATAACGCTGGTTTTTTACATTTAAAAAGATAATTTAAACTATGACTGGGAAAAATAATATCAAATTAGACGATCTTGTGCATTATTAAAATTATATCAACCGTTACCTTGTATTTACAAGGCAATTTATTACCTTTTATAGTTATTTATATAGTATTATTTTATTTATGGATATTTGTGTATGGTTTTACGGAATATAATGAAGCAGGGTGGTTGTGCTTAGGTATAATAGGATGTGTTCAAATATTAGTTTCATTGTGCTGCTATTGGACTGTGCACGTCCAATGTTTTCTCGCATGCCGACCCGTAAGTTAATATTTTTAATATCTTAACATTAAATTTTAGATGCATATATTTTATTCAAGATTCACGTGATTTTTATCATTACTCAAACATAACCTAACTATTTAAAATGTCGTTTCTATAAAATATTGTAGGTCAAAGGGCCCGAAGAGGCATCTATAGCAAAAGTAGTTCCAACAGCTAATAATGGTTTTTCCGAAATAGTTCAAATTATATCATACAAAAGAAGATGGTAGTAAAGAATTTATACATTGGTTTATATTTCAAAAAACTAAATATATTTGGAACTATGATAAAAAGCAATTTAAATGTATAGAATTTCCAGTTAATTATACATTAGACTACTATTCAGAATCTAAAGGTCACCAAGAAGACAGTGATGTGCAACTTGCTGAGTCTAGATATGGCAAAAATCAGCTGGATATGGTATTGTTAAAACCCTTAATTTAGAACTTAAACCTATATTGGAATGATCAAAAATTATGAAACTAATTACAAATCATTACTAATCATGCTCAACATTTATAAATATCTTCACTTGATACATTTATTACATATTATTTGTTTTAAGACATATTTTTATGAATTAGCATATTAGTTTCATTAATAAAATCTTTGTAGGTTGTACCCGAATTCCAAGAATTATTTAAAGAGCGTGCTACTGCCCCTTTCTTTGTATTTCAAGTGTTTTGTGTTGCACTTTGGTGTCTTGACAAATATTGGTACTATTCTATATTTACGTTAGTCATGCTAATTTTGTTTGAGTGTACACTAGTGCAGCAACAATTACGAAATATGGCTGAAATTCGTAAAATGGGAAACAAACCTTATAATATTTTTGTCTATCGAAATAGAAAATGGAAAATGATCATGTCAAATGAGTTGGTACCTGGTGATAAAGTATCAATTACTCGATCTCAAGATGATAATTTAGTACCTTGCGACTTAGTGCTATTAAGAGGTCCTTGTATAGTTGATGAGAGTATGTTGACAGGAGAATCTGTACCTCAAATGAAAGAGCCGGTTGAATTATTTGATCAAGATAAGGTTTTAGATCCAGAGGTGAAGGAAAGTTGCATATTTTGTTTGGTGGTACAAAAGTTGTGCAACATACTCCACCTGCCAAGACATCAGGAAACAGACCACCAGATGGTGGATGTGTTGCATATGTTTTGAGAACTGGTTTTAAACTTCTCAGGTATTTTATTCTTTATTAATCAAAAAATAAACAAAATAAATTTGAGTCAATCTTTTCAATATATCATGTGGGCAATATGTATTTTGTTCTAATCTAATTTATATTGTAGGGAAAACTGTTGCGTACAATTTTGTTTGGAGTTAAGAGAGTGACTGCTAATAATTTGGAAACATTTGGATTTATTTTATTCCTGTTGATTTTTGCAGTTGCTGCTGTTGTGTATGTTTGGGTGAAAGGTACGGCTAAATTTTAAAAATACTCTATAAAACATACTATATTATTTTATAATCATTTCTAGGCAGTGAAGATGAGGAAAGAAACAAGTACAAATTATTTTGGAATGCACTTTGATATTGACTTCAGTTGTACCTCCTGAATTACCAATTGAATTGAGTTTAGCCGTTAATACCTCATTATTATCATTATCAAAACTTAACGTTTTTTGCACAGAACCTTTTAGAATACCTTTTGCAGGAAAAGTTGAGATTTGTTGTTTTGACAAAACTGGTACTTTAACCAGTGATAATTTGGTTGTTGAGGGTGTAGCTGGTTTAGATGAACAGGGTATGTAGATCTTGTGTCTGGAGTATTATAATTTAATGGTTATTTTTAAATACTGCAAACCTTCTAGCTAATTTTTTTTTATGTTAATTATATAGGTGCTAAAGTTAGTCCAATACAGTCCTGCCCCATGAATACACTGCAAGTTTTAGCTACTTGTCACTCATTAGCTCAGCTTGACGATGGTTTGGTTGGAGATCCCTTAGAGAAGGCTGCTTTAACAGCTGTTGACTGGACATTAACTAAAGCTGATGCTGTGATTCCCAAAAAAGGTACAAAATTTTAATATACTATGTTGAAAAATAATAGGGTAACACTGGGCTTAAAGGACTTTGCTATCATGAAATAAATGGCCACATTGTTAATTTTTTAATGAAAGTTTTTTTTTATGTGTAGTTTTTTTTGGTTTTGAGGACTGTTGTTCATTGGATATCAATATTTGATCTTGGCAGCAGTTGGTCAATAAATTTTGATCACAATAATGTTTATAAGATGATTAATGCACTAGTAATGAGAAAATTGTCAAAAATGCATTATCTTTTTATATATCTATTTAGTATTATGCTATCTATAAAATTTGTAAAAAAATATAATAAGCTTTAATTATCTTTTAGGCAAAAGTCCTGGTTTGAAAATTTTTAGTAGATTCCACTTCTCATCATCACTGAAAAGAATGTCTGTTGTTGCTGGCTATAATGTTCCAAATTCAAATGACCAAATGTATATTGCAACAATTAAAGGAGCTCCCGAAACCCTGAAAAGTATGTTTGTCGAAGTTCCTGAGGATTATGAAAAGGTATCAGAATGAATTTTTAATAATGAAATGAAATGATAGCATAATTTTTAATAATGAAATGAAATGATAGCATAATATATAATTTATTTATAAATAATATTTATATATATTTTGCAAATAAGAAAATGTTGATTATATGATTTGATGACATTGCATAAATTGCATAAATTTGTTAATAAAGTGTTAAATATTTTACTCAAATTCATCTTACATGATACTCAGGATAATAAAATTATGCTCTTAAAGATTTATTTAGATTTATCAAGGAGAGGTGCTCGTGTTTTGGCTCTGGGTTGGAGATCACTTGGAAGTTTAACATCAGCAGAACTTAGAGATTTAAATCGGAATCTGTGGAGAAAGAATTTAAATTTGCTGGCTTTGTAATAATATCCTGTCCATTGAAGCTTGATTCAAAGAGTGTCATCAAAGAAATTGTTAACTCGTCACATGCTGTTGTTATGATAACTGGTAATGAATATATTTATATATACATAGTATTAGAGTTATATTTTTCTTTTTTTAGGTGATAATCCTTTAACTGCTTGTCATGTTGCAAAAGAATTGAAATTTACACAAAAAACAAAGACTTTAATTCTGACTGAAACATCTGAACAATGGAGGTTGAGTATTTTGCAATTATAATTAATTCTTATATCATCATTTATAAATTTATTACCTATGAATTTATTTATTTTTTTAGATGGCTATCTATAGATGGAACCTTACAGCTGCGGGTTGAACATGACTTTAATGAGTTAACAAGTAATTATGATTTATGTATAACTGGCGAAGGTCTTGTTTACCTTCAGGTAATGTTTAAAATCTTACTTGTTACTTGTATAATCTAAATTTAAATTTATCTTAGTTTTTTAAAGAAAATATAATACGAAATTGTTATAATAATACAAAATAAAAAAATATATATGAATTTTTGTAATTTAGGTATACCATAAATATTTTTATATGGTTTATTTTTTATAGGAACATCATAATACTTTGTTGGGTAACTTGCTGCCTCACATAGTTGTATTTGCAAGATTTTCACCTAAACAAAAGGAATATGTAATAGTCTCTTTGAAAAATTTGGGATATAGTACATTGATGTGTGGAGATGGAACAAATGATGTCGGTGCTCTAAAACATGCCCATGGGGAGTTGCTATTCTTAGTAATGCTCCTGAGCGATTGCCTAGCAAAGATGATCTTAAACTTAAAGATAAGCTTAGAGATCGAGGTAATTTGAACCAATATTTCTTAATGTTTCTCAATATCTTAATGACAAACACAGTGGTATCCCGATATACGAGTTTAATTCATTTCATTACCACGCTCATATGTCAAATTGCTCATATCTCAAAGCAATTTTTTTTTCATATAAATACATTGAAAGGCCATTAATTTGTTCAAGCACTATATTTTCTGTCAAGTTTTTTGAATATTAAAAATAATTTTATTTTTATAAAAAAAATATGTATTGTTACCTGTTCATTCATGATATTGTGGAAATGAGTTAGACATGTAATCCTTTACGTGGGTTAATTGTTACTGCACAATTGAAATGACTAACTATAGAATAATTTACTATCATCAAAACAGCTAAAATATTTTTATGACAAGAAAATCATTGCTACAACAGTGAAATTTTTTATATTTTCATTTTGCCATTAATTTTGTCTCTCAATTTCATTTTGCCATTAAGTTTGTATCTCAAATTTTGCTCATATATTGAAAAAACAAATAGCTTCTTTGGCGGCTCGAATCTTGAAAGATTCTTAAGTCAGGTCACTTACGATTGTAAGTCATGGTATGATACTAAGGATTTTATTGCCTTTAAATGGACTTGTCCAAGTAATATTGTAGAAATTTTCATGTTATTAATAATCAAATTACTTATACTGAAAAATTATAAAAATATTTCCAACTGTTTTTTGTTATGTAAGTAAGTATGTTCTGTTATATGATCAAAAAGCAGTCAACGAACGGAGAAATGCTTCTTCAGTACACGGCGCTAATTTGAGGAGTCTAACTGAACCTAATCAGCAACTCAACCCACTTTTATCAGCTCAACAGAGGCAACGAGAGGCACAAGAAAAATTGAATAAAATAATGAGAGAATTGGACGAGGATCAAGTAGCCATTGTCAAACTTGGCGATGCCAGTATAGCTGCTCCCTTCACCAGTAAATTATCTTCAATTCAATGCAGTAAGTAATTAATAAAATATGTAATTAATTATTATTTCTAACAAAAGTAGCATATATAAAAAATTGAATTTTTTAAAATATAGTAAATTATATTCTATATAGCATCTAATTTCCTTTAAATTATGAAAAAAAATTACTAATTTATAATATTTTTCAAATGCATACAAGTTGCTTTAAGAATTTTCAGATGGCATAAAAGCGCTTCTCATTGAATTTTTTTTTTCAGTTTGTCATATAATTAAACAAGGCAGATGCACATTGGTCACAACTCTTCAGATGTTCAAAATTCTTGCGCTAAATGCATTAATTTTAGCATACAGTCAATCTGTTCTTTATCTTGATGGTATTAAATTTAGTGATGGTCAAGCGACATTACAAGGGCTTCTACTGGCAGCTTGCTTTTTATTCATTAGCCGATCTAAGGTAATAAATTTAATCTATATATAACTAATAATAAAACATAACTAGCAATGTCGTATATAACTAATTTTACCAGAAATTGGATTTATAGATACATACAATGATCTCTGAAACATTCCATCTTAGTTATTCATTACTTCATTCAGTCAAATTCATTATTTATTTCATAGCTAAAACGATTATAATTGCAAGTTTATTATGAATGATTGATATGTTTATTTGGACATCGAAGAAATATTTTTTATCAAATTTTGGTAGTTATGAATAAGTTTCTTTTTTGTAGCAACTATGTCAAGATTATAGACAAATAAGTTACAAAAATACTACTTAAAAAAAGCAAAATTAAATACCAATTTTATAATAAAAACCAATTTTAATATAAAATTTTCCCTTATACCTACAATAATTCAATAATTTTATAAAAAACGAAATTAAAATTAATGACTGCTTGATAAAAATACTTGGTGATTTTTTTATAAGTTAGTCAGATAAGTTGCACATAGTAGTTCTTCATTATTTTAATAGTTCATTAATAGTTTTGCGGGGTTAGCAATACCAAAAACTCAATTTTAAAAATTTAACGACGCGTCTTCAAAAAAAAAAAAGGCAAATCGAAAGGACGCTAAGCATCATACCAGTATATTATTATTATTAAACATACTTGTGAACAATGTAAATGTGATGAATATTCGACTACTCTTTTGTATGAATAAACTGTGTTGTTAACATATAGCCTTATTTTACAGCCTCTTAAAACTTTGTCAAGACAACGTCCACTGCCTAATATATTTAATGCGTATACTATTTTGACCGTTTTATCCCAATTTGCTGTGCATTTCTGTTGTTTAGTTTATTTGGTTCAACAAGCACATGCTAGGACTCCTGAAAGGTTTGTACAATGATTTTAATCCCTGTAGTTATTATTATTTATATAATTTTTCAACTGCATTTCATTTCAGTATAGAAAAACCTAAAGTAAAACTCAGTGTCGAAGTGGAAGAGGATGAACCATTTGTGCCTTCACTACTTAATTCCACAGTATACATTATTTCAATGGCATTGCAAGTTTCTACATTTGCTATAAATTACCGGGTAAGCAATTACATTTTTATTATAACCATGTTATTAGTAACTTTAATATTTAACCATACTAGCTTCAAGCAACAAAACAAAATGTAATTTTGAAAAAAAAAGAATTTTAGTTTTTCAGGAAATATTTCCTTATCATGGATTGTGAGTTGCAAGTATAAGAAATTATTCATATATTTCACATAACATTTTTTTTTTCATTTTTTTCAGGGACCTCCATTCATGCAATCATTGCGAGAGCATAAGGCTTTACTGTACAGTATTTTAGCTTCAGGAGGTGCGGTATTTGCGTTAGCTGCAGGTGCTCTTCCAGATTTAGCCGAACAATTTGAAATAGTTGATTTTCCTGCTGAGGTAAATATTATTTATAAACTTTTTATTAAAGATATATCATGGTCTGATAAACAAAGCGTTGCCTTCAAGAATTGAAGAAAGATTGGTTGAATTTCGTTTATTTTTTGCGATACTTTGAAAATTGTACTTCCAGGAATTAGAATTGAACAATTTCATTATTAAACTAAGTCATGATACATGATCAAAGATATAATAGTCCATAGTTCATAATTTACGTTTTAGATGTTTTTTTATCTATAAGACTAGTATAATTTATTGGGTTAAAAGGCAAAATGTGATTATGATTTTATAGTTATACAGTAGAAGTCTTTTAGTCCGGCATCCAACGGTATGGAATGTCCTATAGTCCGGCATTTCTTCGAAAGTTTCTTTCAAAAATGTGCTTTTATAGCAAATAAAACGCTCGAGGGCTATTAGAACGTTTTCTGTGTGGTTCAGAATTATTCGGAAGAACTCGCTATTGTTCAATAATCGTTGTGTTTATGGTAAATTCTGTTGTGCCTACGTTCATGAACAAAGCATGTTCTACGATATACGTAGCCCGTACGTTCTACGAAGGATTCGTCCTTTTTTTTTTGAAGTTAGTCTAATGAATATATGGCATAGTACACATATATATCAATAGATTTAACCACCTAATTGTGCAGTGACCATGTTTTCAAAATTTAAGCCCTGATTTTTAAAAAAAGGGAACGAAAACACGTAACACTCAATATCAATCAGAAACTAGAAATCATCAAACGGCAATTTTTATTTTTTGGAGAAAAAAATGTTTTTTGTTAAAATTTTCAAAATATTTTAAATATATATATATTGTTAGCTGACCTTTTAATCACCGATTTATATAAACAAATATGTCACATTCTCATGTTTTTTACAAAGATGCCATACTGATTAAATCAAAAGCATGGCACACTATTATAATATTAACTAATATTATAATATACTAAAATATAATAATATACTAAAATATAATAATAAACGCCTTATATAGATTTCGCTAACAATATATATTCAAATAAATGTAAAATAAGCTTTAATTTTGTAAAATGCGCCCGATAGTCCGATATATAGGGCCTAGGAAGCCGGACTAAAGTACTTCTACATTTATTTTAAAAATATTCTAACAGTTGGGGCGCGTTTTTCAAGAATATTTACGTAGTTTCAAATGCGTATCGTCATTTTTTTTCATAAATGATAGGGGAAATACGGACAAAATGGTATATAAACCTAAAACGATACAATTGCATTATTTAAAAATTTTGATTATTTATTCAGTTTCGAACAAAATGATATACCTATACAATGCACCAAACGACATAGTAGGCAAATGATGATAAAATGATCTATGACTATTTTGCAAATCTACAGGGTAGTTCATTTGGTGCCAAGAAAAAATTACATTGAAACCTGTCATAGGTTATGATCTTTCAACTGTTGCTTTAACTACTTCTGAAAACAGAACAGAAGCTTCCACAGTTAAAATGAAGTGACTTGCACTTATATCAAGCGAAAGTTGGTTGCGAGGTTCCAATTTGCTCAGTTTGAGCACCTTCGTCATGTGCTGATGTCTCAAAGGGGCCAAAGAATTTATTTGCGAATTGCCTTCTTAAAAATCGGCATCTCAGTATGTCCTTACTTTGCATGTCATTTTGTCAGCACTATATGGGCATATCTACAAAACTATGTTACTTGTAGACAATGAACCAAAGATGAGTAAAATCGATTGAGACTGGTTATAATATCATTAAATAATGAAAAATGCCATTTTGTTCAGACTTCTCATATAATATTTTTTTAGATTGTCTCCTCTAATGCTTTATTAATTTTTCATTCCCAGTTTCGTCTGGTTTTGGTTCAAGTGTTGTTTGCTGATTTCTTTTTTGCCTATCTCGTGGACAGGATTTGCATGTGGCTATTCGGGGAAGGAAAAGCGAGAATACTTAGATCATCTAGGTCGTAACACATTCACACAGGCAGCAATCACAATCACCAAGTACGCATTCAATCATAAAAAAATAAATTATAGTGTATTTACGTACGGAATAAAAATTATGAATGTTTTCTGTGTTCTCGATTCGACCGATCTTTTCAGATTTTTTCTTATTTGATCAAGTATTTTGTTGATTATGTTCTGGTTTATGTAAAATAATTAGAAGGAAATATGTATTCGCACTTTGCTAATTTATTCTTTGATATTTCAATTAAATGTTTACCTTTGCGAAAGAGGAAATCTGACTTGCTAACATTGTTTTTCGGGGTTTAAAGTCTCTCTGAATCGCTTGAGACCAAAATTGAAAAAAAACTATGTCCGTGTGTGCGTTTGAGTTTCCTCAAAAAGGGCGAAAAATTTTTTCGCGACGATCGGCCGAGTCGATATCTATACAATTAGCTGGCAAGTGCGTAATTATTCTTATTTTTATACTTGCAAAAAATTCAGAACTGATTTTAAAAGTTCGAACGATTTGAGTTGGGATTTGGGTTGATGAGTTTTTGGTGCAGATCGGTTTGGTCATTTCTTCGTAATTTATAGTTGAGAATGAAATAACGATTTTGTTGTAACTGTTCTTGATATTTTTTAAAGTTTATAGTTTAAACGAACATCCTAAAATATAAGGAGTCTATGACATAACTGATTTTTTGAAAAATGGACGGGGTCAAAGTTTCAATCTCAATTTGTATTGTCAAAATTTGATACGCTGCAAACTCTCAATCCTTATTTATTAATTTAATTATTTAGAAATATCGGGGAAGTTTATGCAACTTTTGTTTTTGCTTGAAACTCATGTGTTAAAGATCAGTATAATTTTTGTTTTATAGAAAATAAAATAAGTATTTGGCGAAAGACTTAAATTTCAATCAGGTGGAAAATAAAATTAGTATTAGAAAAAAATTAAGCCCTATTCATTTTTGTTACTCTTTTAAATGTTAACACTATTGGCATGCGTATTTTGTGTTACTTTTAATAATAGATTAGCTAGTGAAATATTTTTCTCAAAACTGATACATAGATTACAACATTTTACGGAAATCGATAATCAATCAATCTAAATAAAAAATTAGTTCGTCACTAATGTAATATATAATGCAGTGCATTTGACTAATAGCATCGCAAATAAAATGTATGGAAAATTATGGTTATAAAATTATGTTTAAGGGACCGATTCTGCCGCACAACAGACCAATGTTATGGCAAGGCCATGTTACGCTGAAACTTCCATACATTATGCTACTTAATCATACTGAATATTTTCAAAATGTCATGTATTTGCTGTGCATTCGGGCGTTTTACACATAAACTGCAACGTCGCCCGTATGTTATGAAGCTGGGTCAGAAAAACCTTGTTATCTAAGATAGTCTTTTTCACATTTGTGCGGTTTCTAGGATAGGTTTTCTATCTGACAACCTGAGAAATGCGCGTGACTGCACAGCAACCACATGGCTTTTGTCAATATTTAGTATGAAAAGTTCTTCATGGCCTTGCCATAACATTTGTCAGTTATCGGCAGAATCGGTCCATAAATTTAACACACTATGGATATATCCAAAGACTCGAACTATTAAACAGATTTTTTGCTTCAATTTTAGATACAACTCCGAAACTTTTCTATTATTATTTATAGTAATGCACCCTTAGGTTTCTACTCGATGCAAATAAAGCTGAAAATTTTTAATTAGGATTTATTTTTTGTTCTATGTAAATTCTTCACGATGAGAAAGCCTTAATTACAAAATGAGATCATTAACGTGAATTAGTTTATTTTTTTATATTTATCATCAATAAGAACGAATAATATACTGAACTGTATTAACTCTTATTAGCCATATGTTTATTCATTGATATGTTCAGCCATAGATAAGGAAATGTTCAGCCTTTTTAACTGATTTTTGTTATGTGGTTTGATTAGTGTAATTAGTATAATTTTTAAAAATGAATCAAAGGATTGTAATATATGAGTCACATCAATCATACAATATATTATATGCCCTTATTAGGCTATGAGGATATTTTGAAATAAATTAAATCCACCTAAAATATTTGTTTAGTTGCTATGTAGTTTCATCAGAAAAATGAATATGCTTTTGTACATTTTGATATTAAGAATTGCCTCGCTCAGTGAATTAATTACATGTAAATATCTTTCTCGTTTGGTCGGATAAACAACAGCTTTGCATTGAAACTAGTTTTGCTAGAATCGCGCGATAGTCGATGACTTACGGAATCAACTTCATAATTAATAATTTAATTTCAAAATCTGACTTTTAGATCAGAATAATTACTCAAATTAATCCAAAATCAAAATTAAAAACATTTGTTCATAATATTATTAAAGAACAACGCAAGAATTGTAAAATCAGCAGTACTTAATTTTCACAATCCTTTACTCCTCTTCTTACTTATTATGTAATAAGAATTATAAAAGTTGAATATTATAGTATCGTGTTTGTTCGTATGCAATAAATATTCTAAGAATTAATTTACATTTATACCGCGTGAAATAAAATGACTAAAAACGAAAAGCCAGGTTTTCTTTAATTAAATGTAGTAATTACACAGATTTGAATATTTGAATATTATTTGCCTAGAATTTTTTGTTTTATCCTGACAGTTTTCTATTTTCTGTAAGATTGTAGTAAATCGTATCGGAATGTAATTCTAACGGAATCAAGCTAAAATTTAATGAATGATCATTATCTTAACTATGTCGCAAAATGATACCTATCTTGCACCCTGTAATTGGATTTTAAATTTCATTTTCATAACTCAAATACCGTTCGGAATAGATTAAGATTGATTAAATAATAAATCAGGCAGATTTTTATGTTTTTATTAATTCTCCTATAGTGTCTACCTAAAGTCCTAAATATTTGATGATATGAAGTGCAAGTTAAACTTGCCTACTGAAGGGCGTAAACAAGTACATATTTATTACATGTTTTCAGATTAGTTGCAAAATTTTGCAGTCTAAATTTTATATATTAATTAGTATTTCTTGTTTTAGGTGTAAGTTATCACAGATATGTGTCTATAAAGATTTAACATATGTATATATAAAAAACATACTCAAATATCATTCTGACGGTCACGTTTTTGGCGAAGGCAGATCTAGCCGTTCCGAAGACACGGGACAAAAAATGCCGAAAACGGTAACTCAGTTTTTAAGAGAACGGAGCGTCCGATTTTAATAATTCAAAAATCATTTTTCTTGTATCGACACGATGAACAACTGATTAAATTTTTGGGAAGTCAGGTCCAGCGGTTATGGACTCTCAATAAAAATATTTTAAAAAAATGTCATTTGGCGGTCAAAATGTTTATTGGACATATGTACATCAAATTATTAGATATTTTATAGAGATTTTAATAATGTGTACACATTTTGTGTAAATTTTTTTTGGTTCCGTACCAAGGTTTTTAATTACGGTACTGGAAGTTCCAGCAATTTTCCTTAAGGCACGATGCCATGCACCCCACTAGTTATCAAGAAGTTTTTCTACGGAATATGTCCATGATATAGGTCTTTAGATTCATTAAAATTCTGATCGGATTTGTCAGCTTTATGTTTTCTCTATTTTCCTAGTCATTTGAAACGTTTGAAACCTATAGGAAAAAGTGTAAATAATATGTATATTATCCAAAATTTGCTCTTTGGTCAATGTTTCCTCAAACACGGCAGCACCTATTTCAAATATTTTAAAGCTATTCTATAAAGAAGGTTCAATTTCTGAGAAGGAAGTGCGTTGATTAGTTTTTCGCGACGATCGGGTGAGCCATATTTTTATATTAAACTAGCAAACCCGACAAACTTCGTTTCGCCACCTGATGGTTTCGTGAGAAAGATGAAGGAATTTTTTGTTTGTTTTATATTTGAAAAGGAAAAATTTGATTTTATTGCACAACAGTAATGAATTTATTTCGATCACAAAAATGAAGTGTTTTTTTAGTTGAACTTCTCTAAAAATAAGTAAATGAAAGTGAATCCGCAAATTATCCGTTTCATTGAAGTGCTCTTAGGTAAACCACATTTTTTGTTTTTTGGTCCGACGTTAACACAAACAAAGCGGATGGTTTTCCAACTCGTGAACAGGCAACGTATAACTGCCCATGTGAAAAACAATGATTTTCTAAATAATCTATTTGAAATTTATCCTGCAAACACTAAGCGAACTGGAAATTGCAATCGTTTGAAGTCAAACGGAAGACCAGTCGGGATCATTGGTATGTCACCAAATCGCCAGAAATTTTTTATTGAATGATAAAATTCAGTGCGTGTACATCATTATTCTTTGCGGCAAGAACTGCTCGTTGACTTAATCAAGCATAATTCTGATAATTCTCACTAATGTCATTACTCGAATTTTTAATTACGGTGCGTGAAGTTCCAGCAGCTTGCATTAAGGCACGATGCCATGCACAAGTAATTTTCTTAGCTATAAACCTTGCGGAGCCCGAGACCTTTCCAACGAAAGCAAAATTGTCGAAATCGGTTTGTGCGTTCTGGAGTTATATCGTCAGGAAGGAAAACCCGACTTATTTTTATATATACGTAGATAATCTATTTGAAATTATTTAAAACAGTTATTGATTATTTTTATTATTCGAATTTTTAATTACGGTGAGTGAAGTTCCAGCAGCTTGCATTAAGGCACGATGCCATGCACAATTAATTTTCTTAGCTATAAACCTTGCGGAGCCCGAGACCTTTCCAACGAATGCAAAATTGTCGAAATCGGTTCGTGCGTTCTGGAGTTATTTCGTCAGGAAGGAAAACCCGACTTATTTTTATATATATAGAAAATAGGAGAGCTTAACATTTTTCGTCATTGTTTTCTCCAAAAAACCTGTACCATAATATGTTTGATAGATGTGAATTTGGAATTGTGCTGATTAGTTTTGGCGATTATCGGAAATAATTTTAACATTTGGCAAGTTATAACTATATATAAGGTGACCATACGTCCTGGTTTGGCCGGGACAGTACCGGATTTCCACCTTGTGTCCCGGGTTCTTCTAAAAACAATATTTGTCCTGGAAAT